GGTTCACACTAGAGGGTCCTGGATAGAGTGGGAGAAAATGTGGAACAAAACTTAAAATTATTTAATAATAAAAAAAGCGACAGGGTTTCCTGGTCAGAAAAAGACTGGAGGAACCTGAGACTATGACCCTCACCCTCAGAGTTCAATTTTTAGGTCTGGTTTATAGGGGAGGACAACAACACCAGTAAGGTATGCTCACCATGGAATGGTCAATCATTCAAAAACAACAGGGCAACATTTTCCTAAGTCCAAAGTTGAGAAGGGATGAGAAGGTAGGTGGAGTGCAAATAGGAACCACAGGGAGGAAGTGGAATAACTGTGATTGTATGGAAGGGATTGTATTCTTTGAGATGAAACAAAGTGTATGATTTGTTGAATGTAAAGTTCATGGTCTTTTCTGCAAATCTTCTCTCAATTCACAATAGAAAGCTAAAAAAAAAGTTAAAAAATAAAGGGATCCTCCCCCCCTTAAAAAACAAAAATAAAAAAATTAGGCCTGACACACTGATCTATATTTTCTTCCAAACATTTTATGGTTGTAGTATCTACATTTAGGTTCTTGGTCCATTTTGAATTTATTTTTGTGTATGGGTAGGCATGGATCCTGTTTTATTTTTCTGCAGATGGAAATCCATATTTCCATCCCAATATCATTTATTGAAAAGACTCTTCTTTCCCAGTTGAATAGACTTAGCACCCTTGACCATAGATTGTGGGTTTATTTCTGGTTTCTCAATTCTATTCCATTGGCATATGGAATTTTTATTGTTAATTCAGTACCAGCTCTTTTGATTACTATAGCAGTATAATACTCATGGTGGTGAAGGTGTGCCGTGAAGTCGTTTCCAACTCATAGTGACCTGGTACAAGGTTTCCAAGGCTGTAAATCTTTACAGGAGTAGAAAGCCTCATCTTTCTCCCATGGAACAGCTGGTAGTTTTGAACTGCTGACCTTGAGGTTAGCAGCCCGATTTGTAACCACTATGCTACCAGAGCTCCTAAATTAGGAAGTGTGATTCCTCCTACTTTATTCTTATCTTTTAACATTGCTTTAGTTTTTTTGGATCACTTCCAGCCATTCCAAAGTTGAGGTCTTTCCATTTCTGTAAAGAAGGCTGTTGGACTTTTCATTTTCTTGATGGTTTCTTTTGAGACAACAAAAGTTTTTAATTTTGATGAAGTCCAATGCATCTGGAGTCTTGGTGTGGCGCTGTGGGTTAATGCACCAGACTGCAAAGCTGTTTGAACTGCAAGGTCTGTGGTTCAAGCTCACCAGCTGCTCCTTGGAAACCCTATACAGGGTCGCTATGGGTCGGAACCGACTCGATGGCACTTAACAATAACAACAATGCATCTATTTTTTCTTTTGTTACTTGTGCTTTTAATATTCTATCTATGAAGTCTTTGTCTAACCCACAATCATGAAAATTAACTCCTATGTTTTTTCCCACTTTAACTTACATTTAGGTCTTTGATTCATTTTAAGTTAATTTTTTGTATATGATATGAAGTGGGGATCCAAATTTACATTTTATATGTGGATATCCAGTTGTTTCCAAAGCCATTTGTACAAAGGCCAGTCTTTTCCCATGTCATTATCTTGGCACCCAAAATGAAAAATTGATTGACCTAGATTGTAAAGATCTATTTCTGAACTCTCAATTTTATTCCATTGATATGTCTAGTTTCTTCCCAGGACTAGATAGTCTTAATTACTATAGCTTTGTAGTAAGATTTGAAATTAAAAAATGCTATTTAAAAAAAAATATTTTGGCTTTTGGCATCCCTTGTATTTCCATATGGATTTTAGCATCAGCTTGTTAATTTTTGCAAAAAAAAAAAAAAAAAAAGCCAGTACAGTACCATAACAGGACTCCAAGGTAACACATGAAAATGCTTTTGAACTTTTACTGAAAATAGTCAAATATTTTTGGCTGTCTTTGAAAAATGAAGTTCAAATCACTCTCCTAAGACATCTTTAAATGTGGATGTAAAGTTCATGGAAATTATTCATATATGCTCACTGGATATAGTGTTATTGATGAATGTGAAATGCCTCCTCTACTCTGGTCTGGTCTCACTTTCCTTCCCTAGTTAGCCATTTTCTTATGGATTTACCTAGAAGCAGATGAGTACCAGCTCTGGTAATCCATTGGTCATGCATGAGCTGAGTCCTGGAATCCTGGTTTTGAGAGTGGGTGATAGGTTCTTAAGTATTATATATTTTAAGTTTTTATTGTGAATTGAGTGATAGTTTTACATGGGAGAACATCAGCTTTATATTCATCCTATTGTATTTTGATTCACTGCAATGATTACAATCCCCACCATGCATCATCATTCAGCAGCATTTGATTCCATTCCCTCTATGTTTTTTTTGGATGTACACTGAAACACTCAGGAATATATAACCATTCAAACAACCAAAGGGCATACCCTGCAAGCCTGCCACCCAGCCACCAGCACACTGCCCCTCTCCCTCCTTGAGTCTAGAGTCCTCAGACACTCCATCTCTCCACGCCATCGTTTCTACCTCCATCTCTGGCATCACTGCTTCTCTGGATTAGGGTTCTGCACTCTGTTCTGCACCTTGATGGTCCCAGGATCCTCCGCTCCTGGACTGCAAAATCAACCACTTCCCTCTTTTTGTTACAAAACGTCTACCTTTGCAACAATCGCAATCAGTCCTGATACCAGTTATTCACTATTAAACCACAAGAGTCTTATCCCCATCTCCTTTCACTAGCCCTGTCTAGACAGGTTGGAAACCACTCAGTGGAGATTCTGCCTTCCCTTGCACCTCTGAATCTAAGCTCCCTCTTGAAAACTTGTAAGTTGGTCACTTTGTGCCTTTGTAGCTCACCCATTTTGGGTAGCCACTGTCTAAGTTGCCCATCTCTATCAACCCTGTGTACAGAGGGGGTGGGAATGATCCTTGGTGTAAAGATTCATTCCCTCTTTTAAGCTACTACACCCATAAATATAGGTCAAGTTCATCAAATTGTAGTAGATTTACACTTTTTTTCCTTTTCTTTCTCCCTCTAGTTGAGTTCTGATCATCCAGCCATTGAAGCTAGGTCAAATGGGTACTATCTGCAAGTATATGTGAGGTTTTGGGGAAAACTCATTACTCCTAATACATTGTTTTGGAGTCCTGGTGTGCAATGTCAGTTTGAACCACAGTGTTGGCAGTTCAAGGTCACCAGCCACTCCTTGGAAACCCTATACAGGGTCACTATGAGTTGGAACCTACTCCACAGCATTTAACAACAACAGTAACAACACACAATTTAAAGTATCAATTTCAGTCTTTTACCGTATATTTGTTGTTGCTGTTGTTAAGTGCTGTTGAGTTGGGTCTAACTCATAGTGAACCCATAGAGAGTTTCTGAGGAACGGCTGGTGGGTTTGAACTGCTGACCTTTCAGTTACTAGTCCAGCGCTTACTCAACAACATCACATCAAGACTCCATATATAGGATGTATCTTATTACTATTGTATTCTATGTAATTTAGTATCTTCTTTGTTCTATTTAATATTCAGTTTCCAAAAGTGGTAAAATCTTTATATTATAGACATATGTATAATGCTCCCTCAGGTATCCACTTAATTCGTTTAACCTTGTCTGACCACAAAAAATATGATAATGACACCAACCATCCCTCACATGACACTCTACCTCTCATCTGGACTCAGTAATCCATTACAGTGGCCATACAGAACTCAGAACATACTTGCAGCTATGGGATTTATTAAGGAAATTACTAGGTACAATAGAGCATCAGAAAATGCTCAGGGCATTTTCAGCTGTCCACAGGACACACCACTCCACCATAAGCCTCAGCCTGAAGGCAGTTGGCTCTAGCTCCTTGGGTCAGCAAACCTTGCTTCCCAACTTGAGTACCTGGAGGCACCCCACTAGACAAGAAAGCTTCCTACCCAGACACTCGGTTTTCCTTGCTCTGTGGGCTGGGAAGGCCACTGATCTGTCTTGTGCTCTGGTTCTTGGTTCTGCTGCTGCTCCTGTGCCACTCCTCCTGTGTCAGAGCTTTATGCCCCTGGGCCGAAGAGGTTCAATGCACAGGGATCTTGGAATCCAAAGGACACGATCACCTCCTGACTCTTGTTGTCGTTGTTAAGTGCCTTTGAGTCAGTTCCTACCCATAGTGACCCTGTATAGGGTTTCTGAGGAGCAGGTGGTGAGCTTGAACTGCCAACCTCACAGTTCAAACTGACTTTGCAGTCCAGCACATTAACCCACAGCGCCACACCAGGACTCTGATTCTTCTTCTTGGATGATAGTGAGATCCCCTCTCCTGCTTCTGAGATGTCTCATTTTAAACTCATATTAGAGTTTCAAGTTTTTATAGCTACAATGAACTCTGCTAACATCCATGGCAGAATCATGTCATCCTATCATATCTTCTCCCACCTTCTCTTACCCAGACACAGCAGGGCAGGAATGTTGTGTGGTTGGAGATACAGACCGGCTAGAAGAGACATTAGGTAATTTACAACACCACACTGGCATTTTGGCCGTTTCAACATTTTCCCCAAAGACACTGCTGCTGTGATCATTTCTGTGCACATTATTTTTTCTTTTTTTGAGATTGTTATTTTAGGATAACTTTCCTAACAAGGAATACTTAGGCCCAAGATTAGAACGATTTAATGACTGTTGATAAATCATCCCAATTTGATTTGCCAAAGGGTGTATTGGTTCACATTACCACAAACTATGTCCATGTATACTAATTTTAGCACAATCCTTATAGCAGTTGCACAGCATGATCTTTTAAATGCCTACTTAGTGAAAATGGTATAAATTATTTAATCTGCATTTCTATTATTATTTAATATGGTTAATAAATGGTATGTATTAGAATTAAGATTGTTTTATTTATATTCAATTTTAAAACTTAATGAGCTTAAAGATGCAAAACATGTGAAAACAAAAACCTCTGGTGCTTGATATTATATGTATCTCTTTCCCTGACAGCTTGCCAATGTTTACTGTGCTCAGGAAGTTTACCATTCCACTGACTTTGCTCCTGGAGACCATCATACTTGGGTGATTTTTTGCTTTTCCTTGGTTCCTCCAGTGCCTCCTATTCTCCCAGGATTCCATTCCCCCCCTCGTTTTTCCAAATAGTTTATTTGAATTGCTAGTTGCAATAACTTAAGGACAAATGGTTTATTCTCTTGAAAATAGTTGCTTGTTCAGGGGATTGCCTCAGAATTTTTTGAAATGATTTTTATTTTCTCTTTAAGCTTTAAAAAACAATTTTTCCTTATTACCAATATGCATTATATTTACTATAAAAAATTGTAAGCTGCAGATCACAAAATTGGAAAATAAAGACTATTAACAATTATATTGTGAATGAATAGCATTATTAAATATTTTTGACTGTTTACTGATTTCTATGCCTAAAAATATGATGAGTGATATTTAATTGTAATTTTACTTTAGACAAAGCAAATCACAAAAGAAAAAAGAAAAATCCCCCCAAACAAATCCAAGCTCCAAACAGATGTGAATCTGTGTTTTGAGACAGATGGTATATTTTTTTGAGAAATTACCCATGTTCGAGGGTAAGCCAAAAAGTATTGCTACAAAACCATGGAGCCATTTATTAAAGGAAAATATCAAAATGTAAAGCTATTGTTTCTCAGCATATCTTAGTCTATGCAATTCTGAAAGTGGTATTTCCAGCTCTAAACTTTCCCTGAAGAATTCTGCCCTCTTCGATTTATACCATGTCAAAATGGCAGTTTTGGCATTCTCGAGGGACTCAAAAACCTTTCCTTTTGAGTTTTGAGAACAAAAAAGAAATCAGGTCTATAGGATGGATGGGGTAAGAGTTTCCAATGAAATTCTCATAGGACAGCCCTTGCAACTCCAGAAGAATGAGCAGGTATAATACTGTGATGGGGAAAAATTTTCTCAGCATAACTTTTCTGGCCTTTTTCACACTAGTAAGATTTTCCATTTTCTTAAAACTTCTACATAATGAACCATGGTAATCAACCTGTGTCCTTCAAGAAAATCTATTAATACTACCCCTTGGGAATCTCAAAAAACAATTTTTATAGCCTTTGGAGGTACCCTCTGTTTATTTCTTGAATTTGACTGGCCCAGTAGCTCCCCTCTGAAGCCACTGTTTGATTGAACCTTCCTCTCTGGATTATATTGATCCAAGTGTTATACCCAGTTATGGTTCATTCCATAAGATTGTCTTCATCAGCTTAAATACTTATAAAAGAATGATGGTAAAGATCACCTCTTTGAGCTAGTTGATCTTTGAGCAATGTTTTTGGCATCCATCGAACTGAAAGCTTGCTGGTGTTAAGATGTTTGCTTAAAATTAAAAATGGCAAACAAATTATGTGAAATCCCAATTTCAGTAGCTATTGAATCAATGGTAATTCTGTAATCTTTTTCCATCAGTTTCTGAACTTCAGCAAGTTTCTTTACTTGTTGAGGTTGACAGTCTTCCCTCTCTTGGTTTTGATGTCTCCCCTAGTTTCCTTAAAATGCCTGATTCATCTAAAACTGTTGTTATATATGGGGTATCATTCCCATAAACTTGTTGCAAAACTTCAGTGATTTGGGAAGGTATCTATTTGAATTTTGTTAAAAATCTGATATTAGCCCTGACCTCAAAATCGTTCCCTCACCCCCCACGGCACAATAAGCATTGTTTTAAAGAAGATACCCGTATGAGGTTAAAACAAGTGTTTTACTTAGGAAACATGTCTGCAGCCATCCACTGATAACAGAAGTATGTTTAAACATGTTTTGTTTGGAATAAACCCATGTGTGTATGAACTGAAACACTAGATGCAATACTTTTTGACTTACACTCTTATAAAGGTAGAAATGCAGGAAAGCAGAGAAAATCATTCCCGTGTGTTGATTATTATGTCAGATCAGAATAAATTAGTTTTTATAATTTTGGCATAATAACTTCTCATTAGGATATTCAGACTGACATCCAAAAGATGATTTTTGATTTTGCTTTAAAGATTATTTAGCAGCAATGAGACTTGGATGATGGCTCAACATTTTAAGCCTTTACACTGAATTTTACCTGAGTCTTTGGATACTCTATATACGTATAGATCAACTAGACCGACAAATAAGTCTTCTTATTTTGCCCCAGTGTCTTTCTAGTGAAGACAGGGAAATCAGTTCATGATGCAATTAAGAAAACTACTTAAGAAAAACAGCAAATTTGTTTTAATTTACTAATGCACCTACAAGCACTTTTAGTGCTTTCTCTATAGAAAGCATTTCTCTATATAAACTTCTTAGATTTTGGCTCTAAAAGTACTGACAGACAATATTTATTTTTCGTCTTGTGTTTTGAATGTAATCTTTACTTTTAGTTTCGTCTTCTTCCCCTTTCCTTTCTTTCTTTTAATTAATTATTATTATTTGTTTTTACAGGAAGCAGTATTCATTCAGCATCATTGTGAGTGTCTTTGCCATCATTCTTGGTGCTTTTATAGCAGCTGGGTAAGACTGTGGACTATTTCTGCTCAATGACTTCTTTGTGTCTTGGACAATAGGTCCAACCCCATCTTCCGTTTTTCCATTTTCCATCTGGCTGCAATTGAATTGAGCAGCCAAGAGACAAATCTGTTGAAGGTAGTGGATTTCCCATGTGCTTCAAGGATGTCAAACTGGGTTCAAAGTTGGCCAAAACGTTTTTGAGCATATTAAATCAAAACTAAACAAGTTGCTGTTTGGTCGAATCTGACTCATGGTGACCCCATGTGTGTGAAAGTAGAACTGTATTCCAGAGGATTTTCAGGAGTAGATCCTCAGGGTTTTTTTTTGTAGGTGCCTTTGGGTGGATTTGAACCACTAAGCTGTTGGTTAGCAGCTGAGTATGTTAATGGTTTGCACCACCCAGAATGCCAGAGAGCATTATGAGATATTAGGACAGCTTTTCTTCATAAAAGGGAGAAAATTGCATAGTTTTAATGTTATTGAACATTTGTTTTCAATTTTTTCACTTGAAAAGCTCTTAGGCATTTGATTTAAAGTAATGGCAGATTTTTAAAGTGCTCATATGCTGGTTTGTTTTAGCATTCTGTGGTGACTTAGGAGTCAGTGTTCCCTGTGGTAGAATACTAATCATGAAATTTATTTGTATGTTTGGGATATGAGCCAAGACCAGAGCATGACTACAGTACTACCTTTTTTTTTATTAATGTGCAAGACCAGGATTTAGAACTCCAAGTTTACATCTGAAACCAGGCCCCCAAATTCCAGTCCTGTATAGCATGGTGGTTGAAAACAGATGTGAGGTCAGATTTCCTGTGCTCAAAACTTAGGGGTGGTCTTTTAAAGCTGTGTGACCCTGGTCAAATTTCTGTGCCTCAGTTTCCTCATCCAAAAATAAAAGTGATAATAGAAAATAACACCTACTTTAATGGAGGGTAGAAAGAAAATGTTGTAAGAGTTTAAATGGAGCTAGTTTCATTGATTATTTTAGGCCCAAAGATTCAGGGTCATTAATTGCAAACTAAATAACAGCGTAGACTTTGGAGCCAGGATACCTGGGGTCTTATCCTAGTTTTCTTTTACAAACTAACTGTATAACCAAGGACAGGCTATTCAGCAACCCTCTGCCTCAATTTTTTCTAAAAGTGTAAAATGAAGATTAAAATAGCATTTACCTCATAGAGTAATTGTGAGAATTAAATGACGTGATTTACACTGAGGGTTGTTGTCTTAGTCTGGGTTCTCCAGAAAAGCAAAACCAGTGATATATATATTGTTGTTCAGTGCCATCAAGTCAGTTTTGACCCATAGCAACCCTGTATAGGGTTTCTGAGGAGCAGCTGGTGAACTTGAACTGCTGATCTTGTAGTTCAAAAGGCTTTGCAGTCTGGTGCATTAACCCACATTAAACCACACCAGAACTCCATATAAATATGTATTGCTGTTCAGTGCCATTGAGTTGATTCTGACTCATAGCAACCTTGTATGGAGTTTCCAAGGAGCAGTTGATAGGTTTGAACTGCCAACCTGTGGTTCAAAGTCCAATGCTTATTCTACAGTGCCACATAGGATATATATATATATATATATCACTGTTGTTAGGTGCCATTGTATAGGGTTTCTGAGGCTTTACCTTTTCACAGGAGCAGAAAGCCTCATCTTTCTCCCATGGAGTGGCTGGCAGGCTCAAACCATGCACCTTGTGGTTTATAGTCCAGTACTTACTGTATGAGCCACTGGACTCCTTATGGGATATATATGTATAGATCCCTGTTGTTGCTGTGGGCTAAGCATTGGGCTGTTAACTACAGGGTCAGTGGTTCAAGCCTACAAGCTATTCCATGATAGAAAGATGAGGCTCTCTGTTCCCATAAAGATTTAGTCTTGGAAATGCAAAGGAGCAGCTCTTCTCTGTCCTATAGGGTTGCTGTGAGTTTGAATGGACTCAGTGACAGTAAGGTAGAATAGAAAAAAAGATTTATTTCCAGGAAATGAATGGCTCACACAATTGTCGAGGCTGGCAAATTCTCAAACCATAGACCAGATGTCAGGCTTAAGGTGTCTCCTGGTTCATGTGGTTGAAGTGGCAGAAAAACTCAAAATAGTCAGGCTACTGACTCATGGGCCTGTTGTTGTTATGTGCCATGGAGTCAGGGTTTCTACATAGGGTTTCTGAGGCTATAAATCTTTATGGGAGCAGAAAGCCTCATCTTTCTCCATGGAACAGCTGGTAGTTTCAAACTGCTGACCTTGAGATTAGCAGTCCGATTAGTAGCCACTACGCTACCAGAGCAAATTCCAAAATCTGCAGATCAGATAGCAGGCTACTGGCTCATATTCCAAGAACCAGAGGTCAGAGGATGATGAGCTGGATGCAGGTTCCAGAGAGAAGAGTTTTGCCTGGATATCCATATATGTTAGATACAGGCCACACCCCCAGGGAAATGGATTGGCTTTAAACTGATTGACTTTCAACTGATTGGCTGCTCACATTAGAACACAAAATGGAGGATTATTAAATTATGGATGAGCAATCAATTCAATGTTTTCCAAACCACTGAGAATCAGCTTAGCCATGTTGAAGCATAACATTAACATCTCAATTGTGTATGACCAAGTTCAACAAGAAGGTATTTAGTATTTATTATCTCTCAGGCATTATTCTAAATGTTGGAAATCCAGCAGTGAACAAAATGGATAAGAATCTTTGTCTTATGGAGCTTACATTCTTGTTGTTAGGTGCCATTGAGTCAGTACTGTCTCATAGCGACCCTGTGCACAACAGAACAAAACACTGCCTGGTTCTGAGCTAGACCCACAACAGTTGCTACGTTTGAACCCATTGTTGCTGTCACTGTGCCAATCCATCTCATTAGGGGTCTTCCTTTTTTTTTTTTTCCAACCCTCCACTTTACCAAACTGATCCCCCCTGATAACATGTCACAAGTATGAGAGACCAAGTCTGGCTATCCTGGTTTCCAGGAAGTATTCTGGCTGTATTTTGTCGAACACAGATTGGTTTGTTCTTTTGGTAGTCCATGGTATTTTTAATACTTTCTTCCAATACCATAATTCAAATGCATTAATTCTTCTATGGTCTTCCTTATTCACTGTGCACTTTTCACATACATATGAGGTTATTGAAAATACCATGGCTTGCGTCAGGTGCACCTTAGTCCTCAAACTGACATCTTTGATCTTCAGCACTTTAAAGAGGTCTTGTACAGCAGATTTGCTAATGCAATATGTTGTTTACTTTCTTTACTGATGCTTCTGTGAGTGTTGATGGTTGATGTGAATAAAATGAAGTCTTTGACAATTTCAAACTTTTCTCCATTTATATGAATGTTGTTTATTGGTCCAGTGGTGAGGATTTTTGTTTTCTTTACATCGAGGTGCCACCCTTACCAAAAGCTGTGGGCTTTGATATTCATCAGTAAGTATTTTAAGTCCTCTTCACTTTCAGCAAGCAAGCTTGTATCATCTGCATATTGCAGGTTATTGACGAGTTTTTCTCCAATCCTGATGCCATGTTTTTCTTCATATAATCCAGCTTCTTGGATTATGTGTTTATATTGAAAAAGTGTGGTGAAAGAATATAACCCTGGTGCACACCTTTCCTAATTTTAAACCATTCAGTGTTCCCATGTTCTGTGTACAACTGCCTCTTCATCTATGTACAGGTTCCTCATGATCACAGTTAAGTGTTATGGAATACTCATTCTCCAGAATGCTGTCCATAGCTTGTCATGATCCACACAATTGAAAGCCTTTGCACAGTCAATAAAGCACAGGTAAACATCTTTCTGATATTCTCAGCTTTCATCCAAGATCCATTTGACATCAGCAATAATATCCCTCTTTTCACATCCTCATTTGAATTTAGCTTGAACCTCTGAAAGTTCTCTGTCAATGTACATTTGCAGCCGTTTTGTGTTATCTTTAGCAAAATTTTACTTGTGTGAGATATTAATGATATTGTCCGATGACTTACTCATTCGTTGGGTCAACTCTCTTTGGAATGGGCACCAATATGGATCTCTTCCAGTCAGTTGGCTAGATAGTTGTTTTCCAAATTTCTTGGCATACATGAGTGAGTACCTCCAGTGCTTCATGAGTTTGTTGAAAGATTTCAATTTGTAGTCTATCAATTCCTGGACTCTTATTCTTTGCCAATGCATTCAGTGCACCTTGGACTTCTTCCTTCAGTATCATTGGTTCTTGATTATAAGCTACCTCTTGAAATGGCTGAACATGACCATTTCTTTTTGGTACAGTGACTGTATATTTCTTCCATCTTCTTTTGATGCTTTCTGTATCATTTAGTATTTTGTCTGTAGAATCCTTCAACATTTCAAGTCGAGGCTTGAATTTTTTTTTCAGTTCCCTCAGTTTGAGAAATGCTGAGCATGTTCTTCCATTTTGGTTTTCTAACTCCAGGTCTTTGCACATTTCTTGTGACTTTGTCTTCTTGAGCTGCTGTTTGAAATCTTCTATTTAGTTCTTTTATCTCCACATTTCTTCCATTTGCTTCAGCATACCTATGTTGGAGAGCAAATTTCAGAGCCTCTTCTGACATCCATTTTGGCCTTTTCCTTCTTTCTTGTCTTCTTAATGACCTTTTGCTTTCTTCATGTATGATGTTCTTGATGTCATCCCTTAACACTTCTGGTCTTTGGTCTTTAGTGTCTAATGCATCAAACCTATTCTTCAGGTGATCTCTAAATTCAGGTGGGATATGTTAGAGGTCATACCTTGACTCTCATAGACTGTTTAAATTTTCTTCAGTTTCAGCCTGAACTTGAATATGAACAATTGATGGTCTGTTCCACAGTCTGCCCTTGGCTTTGTTTTTTTAAGTTCCTGCTCTAAGATTTTTTTTTTTTTTAAGTTTTTATTGTAAAGTTTCATGGGAGAACATCAGCTTTACACTCATCCTATTGTATTTTGTTTCATTGCAATGATTACAGTCCCCTCCATGCATCATCAAATAACCCCAAAGGGTA